TGCCTGCCGGAGCCGCACGAGCCGGGCACTTGCAAAAAAACCCCATTAATAAATAAATAAAAGGCCGTGCAGGGCACCGCTACATCTCCAGACCATCTCCAACCTCTGCAAGTCAAGAAAAGCCCAACCCACGTCGCTGCAGTTCCGCGCTTTGACTGTATTTTGTGACAAAAGGAATTTCTTAAATCCTATCTGCCCAATATGTATTTTTCAGATGCTTGAAGATCATAAGCATCAGGAATGCGAACCTGGGAGGGGCTGGAAATTTGAGAGCTACGTAACCAGAGATAAAACACAAAGAAAACACAAAGAGTTTAAAGAAAAGATCAAAGGAAGCGATAAGCCATATTCAGAGAGAGCGAACCATTCTAATTCCGAGTCAATACAGCTCCATCGCGCCGTTTCCCCCACTAACCAAAACCCCTCCGCAGGTCACGACACCTCCGTGCCTTCCCCCGAACTGTCACCCCGTCACTCAAAGGCGGCGGACAGCCGACACGGGGAAACGCATCGCTCCCGAGTGCAGGATCCACGAAATGGAACGTGCCCCGTCTGGAAAATAAGGAAATTCTTCACCGTTTATAAAACCCCTCTCAAGCGACAGACACGGCAAGCGAAAAACGCAGCCTAGAACCGAGCGTGAAGGAGCATTTACATAAAGATAAAAGCAGCTGCGCTCAGGGGAACAATTTCCAATCAAGAGCTGCACGAAGTGCGCGGCCCGCTCGATGGAAGAACGGGGGAGAGAAGATCCTGCAGCTTCAGCCCCCACAGCCCAGGCTCCGGCACCGGCCCTCGCCAGCCCCGCGCTGCCAGCGCTGCGGCACCCTTCCGCCGGGAGCGCCGGCCCCCACGCCGACAGCTGCTCCTGACCCCCAAACAGATCCCAAGGGCTCCTGTGCCCCCACCTACGGACGTTCGCTTCGCTGCCCCAACCAACCTGCCCGGCGCCTCGCTCTGGCGGCACTTGTTGAAGAGCCGCTCGGCTCCGGGTGTTCGCAGGAACTTTACGGGCGATGTTACGGAACGTGCGCGGCGTCAGCTCCGCAGGAGCAGCAGCGCCGAAAGGCTCTTTTGCCCGTGATTCTCAGAACCGTCGAGAGGAGCACAGAACACAATAGCGCGTCAGGAAGGAAAATTAAAAGCATTTTGACAGCGAGCATGTGTAAGACTGGTGTTAAACGAAGATCTATTTTTAGTGGATTTACAATCAGTCCTGCAAGCCGGGAGCGCAGCTACGCAACTGTAGGGCTCTCTAAGTGGATAATCTAGTGCGAGATGGGTCTATTTCTGGTTCCCCAACGGCTCTAAGATGCTGCTGAGGCTCAGGCATCTCAGGCACCCGCTGTGCCCGTGCCCGAGGCTCTGGCCAAAAGACAGGTGAGAGGAACGGCGCGAAGAGTTCCCTCTCCCATCACGTGAGGGGGGGGAGGTTTGTCAGGAGACGGGTTTGGAGCCACGGTCTCACGTGCTGCTTTGGGCAGCCCATAAATACCGACTGTTTTCACCTGTTAGAGCTCAGGGCACTTGAGCGAGGTCACGCAGCATGTCTGCCCCCCAGGCCAGCCAGCAGGAAAGCATCCCTGCAGCGACACGCTGGGCGCGCAGAACCAGGACCTCGAAAGAGAAACGCACGACACCGTCCTGGACCACCGGACCCCCGCAGCGAGGTCCTACGGAGGCTGGTTTACACCCGTCTCCAGTTTTTCAGGCAGAGTCATGTGGGTCTAAAAACGTTATCATTTACACACAGAAGATTATGCAAGTCGCTGGAAGATAGATGCTTGTCTGATTAGGTTTCCTCCTGGCAAGCAGTAAGAAAACACTCTGACAGACAAACAACCCTCTCTCAGAAGGAGCACCGAGACCCATCCTGAGCCTCCCCAGCGCCAGACACGAGTCTCAGCCGGACTCGCCCATCCCGCTCCCTCAGAACGTCGCTGGGCTCCAACGCTTACCTCGGCCAGGCAAAACCAAAATAAACTCCAAAGAAAAAACAAGGAAACAAAACCCCCTCGAGCCCCGTAAAGCCGCTCCTACGGGCGTCCACACGCGACACACGCCCGCACGCCGAGGACCACCGCGGGGCCGCGCGGGGGAAACCGCGGGGATCTGTTCCCGGCGGCCGTCGGAGCATCCCCTCCTCCCCGTAGCGGCACTCCTGTACCTGCACAGACCTGCGTCCCCGTGTCACCAAGAGCGAGCAGCTCCGGGGCAGAGGCCGAA